GTTGGGCCCATTAATGCCAAGCCAGGCAGGGACCAACAAGTACCATATTTTAACGTCTTTTGGTATGACGCAGTCGGGGATCGAACCCGCGACCTTCCGCTCTCCGGGCGGACGCTCTATCCACTAGTCATGGAGGATATGACTGAACATGACTGGTGGACAGGGGTGTGGACAGAAAACTTTCCACAGAAGAGTCAGAAAGTTGGACTGGACCCAAGTTTCATATCAATCACTTAGCAGTAGTGAACCCAAAGTCACAATCAACTCCGGTGCGGATTGTGTTTAATTCAAGCCAGGTCGTATAAGGCATCTCTCTCAACAGCTGTCTTGCCAAAGACCCAGACTGCTACCTTAACAACCTCGTTGGACGTTTGTTAAGGTGGCGAGAAGAAGCCGTTGCCGTAGTAGGAGACATCAGGAAGATGTTCAACTCCATCTGCATGGAATCACTTGAACAGCATTGTCATCGTTTCTCAATCGTTTCTTCTTCTCAAGTCAAGCTATGTTGATGATCTCATTGATTCATTCAGAGATATTGTAGAAGCAAAACAGATATCAGTGGAAGCGGAAAGTTTCTGGGTTCTTAAGCCCATTTACACTTTTTGCAAAGATGTACTTCAGAGAAACATTGATATTGCAACTGGGATGGGATGAGGCACTCCCTCAAAGTCTCCAGGTGAAGTGGGTCAAGTTCTTTAAATCTATGTTCGAATCGAGGATGTGAAGTATGACAGGTGTCTACGCCCAGATGATGCAATTGGAAGGCCAAGTCTTGTCATACTCAGCGACGGAAGGGACATTGCCTATGGATGTGCTGCTTACATTTTGTGGACTCTCAACAATGGAAGTCACTGGTTGAGATTGATCATGTCACCTATCAACAGGATCTCAACACCACAGATTGAACTCAGTGGAGTCCTGTCCAAAAGAGCATGTGCTGTGATCAAAAAGGAAATGAGATATGACTTTCAAAGGACACTTCACTTAGTGGATTCAGAGACTGTCTTGAACATGATAAACAAAACCAGTACAAGGTTCAAAGTGTACGAAGGTGTGAGAATTGGGGAAATTCAAACTGCTTCGAATGGTGACATTTCAAATTGGGCATGGATCAGTGGTGAAGACAACATTGCTGATTGGCTTACAAGGGGTCGGTTGCCAAATCAACTCGCATCAGATTCAGAATGGTGGAACGGACCACTCATTCAATACAGACCAATTACGAACTTGGGGTTGAAGTTTGGTCTGCAACATGAAGTCGCAGTGCCAGGTGAGAAGAGAGTCTGTTCAACGACAACAGCTTTAGCACATGTGTCTTTGAGTGACTACAACCAGTTCATTTCCATCGATAGAGTTACTTGGACTAAGCTAGGGTGAAGAATGTACTCAGGTCGAAGTCATTCAAAGGTCGCCATCACATGAATGTTACCCCAAAAGACCTCCGTGAAGCAGAAAAGGTCATCGTGAAAGATGTTCAAGCAACAATCCTTGAAGATCTACAAATAGGCAAGTCTGGTCGTTACTCAAGGCTGAATCCAGTGAAAGGAGCGGGTGACATATGGACTGTCGGCGAACGCATGAGAAGGTTCAATGGCATGACATCAGACTCGAGCATACAGACACTCCTACCTGCAAGTCACTATGGCTCTACATGAAGAAGGTTCATGAAGCAGGACACAGGGGAAGAAACGCTACTCTTGCCAGATTCAGACCCGACACTTTCGAACGTAAACATGCACTAAAGTTTCCGAAAATGAATGTGCATACATTCTATGTACACATACCAGCATCATAATGGCGAAATTATGGCAATCTCACACTAATTTTGAAAAATATTTGAAATTTCATACATCAATATCACATATGCGTTTCATTTCGGGGAGAGTATACATTTCTCTGAAAAACGATACAAATAATCAACACATGTACATTAACAACTGTATATAAAGGAGATAACCAGGTCATCCTCTGAATTTTTGACCCATATGGTGAAACATAACCAGTGTCATATCTAATATCACATGTGCACATATCACTTTTGCCTAGCAACCATGATTGTTTCTGTATTTCGTCGTCTGTGACGTCAAAAAACAATTGAACGTGACGTCAATGAAGAGGGCCTTCACACTTGCTTACAGTGTTTTACTGCACAAATGTACATTAATAATATGGATAATAAGAAATTATTACACTCTCAGGTGTGCCATACGACAAAATTATGCAATACAAAATTTCACACTCCTTTTCGTATAAGTCGTATGGCACACTTGCCAGTGTAATAATCTCTATCTATTAGCTATAACATGGGAACTATATCTTTTTGCATTTGCATCGTGTAATCATATATCTTTTTAGTGCTACAATCGATCTTTTCATGTAGAGTATTTTATATGATAATGTGCGTTTGTGCTCTTTGCTCATCAAAGTGGTATTAGTAGAGCTTCGCCTTGTTCTGAAAAGCTTTAAACTACCAATATACTGAGGGAAACAAATAAGGGAACACCACTTCATCGCAGTGTGCCTCTATGTATTCTCAGATTTTCACTCACAGTGCAATACAAAGCTTGTGAAGAAACCTGGAAAAGAATAAAGGAACACTTGTACTTTTATGTGTTCCCTTATTTGTTTCACTCAGTATATTATATTGAAACACTGTGTGCGTATCATATATATATACTTCTCACAGACATACTGGTCCGTCATACAATCCCTGAAACAAATATATGCAAGAAAGCCCATGCAAGTCAAGCAAGAGTGAAGTACTACAGCACAGAACAGACTTATATACATCAACTGGGATTCAGTAAAAACAATATGTAGGTATGCATCAAAGGAACTAACAGCAATGGATAGTGCTAATAATGTAGTGACAATAGGAGGAAGCCAATTGCCGCAGACGCAGAACAAAATATACATGGCTAAGATTAATTAGTATTGATGACTGGACTGCTCTGCTCCGTTGTTTTCATCAGTTCGTTGCAGGCGGATTGAATGAGGTATCCTTGATCTCTGTGGATTGAGTGCTTGTGTCTGAGGATTTGAACTGCTTCTTCCAGTTTTCCTTTAGTGAAGTCCTGGAGGTTTTTCGATAATATCTCTACATTGTCCCAAGTTATGTTGTGATAAGGACTGTTGATGATGTGGTCTGAAATTGCTGTTTGAACTAGTGCTCAAAAGAAAGTATACAGTGGCTTTGACCAAACGTGAAAAGGAAACAATTGCTATATACATGAACATCTGTTTAATTTCGACAGAGCGTTCAATTCTACAGCAAATGTACACAATTTCAAACAAAGTTGAAAGTACACGTGACACTGAAAGACACGTGGTATCATAGTCTGAACTTTTACACAAATCAGCATGGCGGGTTTTTTTCCGTTGTCATTCCTGAAGGAGACATTGTTCCAGTTGTTGAGTGGTGACAGGTGGCGCTGGTAGTCTTCTGATTTGTCGATCCAGGTAGTCCCATAAGTGTTCTATCGGATTCATGTCGGGGGAACATGCTAGCTACGGCAAAACAACGATATTAGCGTTATGCAGAAAGTCGTTTGTCAACCTTGCTCTGTGAGGCCTTGCGTTAAATCGTGTTGGTTGTCCATCATTTTGAACGTGTTTGTTGCTGGATAAATGGCTACACTGGTCGCGAAACTCCATCCCTATATCTTCGAGCATGCTCGTTTTGAATTCGCCGCAGATCATTCCCCACACCATCACGCTACCGGCTCAAAACGGTCGGACTTGCTGAAGGCAAATCGGCGCTAAACGTTCATCTACTCGTCTGTACACACGAGCCCGGTCGTCCATACTGTACAGGCAAAACCTACTCTCGTCGGTGAACATCACACGTTACCATTCACGCATCTGCCAACGTCGAACTCGCCCGGCCCATGTCAATCGACGACGTCTGTTTTGAAGAGTCAGAAGCACTCCTCGGTAGGGTCGACGCGCTCCAATACCATGTTCTCTTAGTTGCCGGTACACTGTATGTCGACTGATACGGTGTCCTAGTGCCGTCGCTGCCGTTGACGTCGCCCTTGCAAAATAATTTCTCAGATGAATTCTCTGGATGTGGCGATCATCACCAGGCGTTGTCACTCGTGGTCGACCACTCCAAGGCCTGTCTGACGTAGTGCCTGTTTGTCTTAGTCGTTGCATCAGTCTGATGACAGTTGCTCCGGTGCAGCCGAAGATTCTTCAATGACGGTGTGATTAACTCCTCCATTCCGACATCTCTCTTTCGATTTACCTCATATGTGGCATATTTCTTGTGTTCTTTTTACTACTGTGTTGCTCAAGTGATGCAAAGTCTGTTTTATACCGTTAGTATGCACGTGCATTTCGTGTTACATCAGAAAAAAATTGTTTGGGATTTTTTGCGACGCTTAGGCGATTCGTCAGCTTGTTTCGCCGTCTGTTCCCGGAAAAGAACATGGCTCAGTCTGGTTTTATCACTTCATTTTCATTCTTGTGAATGGCTAACCTTCCCACATTTCGTATTTGTAAAGATGATACTGTGACTAAAAAAGTCAAAGTGTCGATTTTCCGTGCTTTTGCAAATTGTGACGCTTTGTTTGATGTGTGTTGGGTAACTTTTCGTTAGTCGTTTCAGTGGTCCGTCAAAGTTTACTATTTAAAGTCCACTCTAACGTTACCCGTCATAAGCTCTTCTCAATGCTTGGTTTAACGGCAGTGTCAACTGCTCAAGATCTAATTCTAAAGTAGAGTGGCGTGACAACAGGGTAAACATATCCTTCTCTTGCCAGTCCTGACTTTCCCTGAGAAATTCAGCATTCGGTGATGTGTACATTCAGTCTAAAATATGCTGCAATGATTTACAATGACAAACATCGTGAATACTTCAGGAACTTCCGGGTCATAATTTTGTGTGCACAATAGATTTAAATATAACATAATATTAGTTATAACCAGGATGAAAACGAAACAGGAACTGCAACATTCGCATCCCGGTAATATTTTGAACGTTCGACATTGACGCCTACACAAACGTATCTGTAGCCGTTTTGCACACGACATTATGAAGTAATCCACATCGACGTGGCCTTGACAACCAAAGGTACAGACAAACGCCTACATTAAGTAAGTCTCTCTAAATGGATATTTACATTATGTGCAGGATGAACAGATATATTAAATGTCCGAAATCTATGGTAATGACAACATAGCTTATACCATTTTTATAGCTCTATGTGCGTGCTTGTGTTGTCGTCTATTGCCGGTTATATTGTGGAAACCGATTAAGATACCCTGCTCCTGATGGTCGCGTACCGATCCGTCGAATTTCTGATTTCAGAGTAGTCAAATGCATTCGACGGATGAGCACTGTGATCTTAGCTATTAAATAGTTATCAAAACATTGGATCATACCACAAAAAAGACGTCGCAAGGGATGTTGGGTGGTTTGACTCTATTTTTGTACTTTTGTACTTATCTTTGCCTACTCATACGATACAATGAGAAATTGATGCATTAAATATATGTTTTGACTCTTTATTTTTGCAATTGATGCATTAAATAAAATGCATTCATACGGAGAAATATATACAAGGATATTATATCTATATCTGCATTCAATAAAACGAAACATTATTTCCTTGACACATTTTCAGTTTGTAGGAATGTTACACACGATCACCATACTCCGAGGAAGTGTCCAACACAATCAATGTAGCCCATTAATCCGATGGACTCTGTAGGTTTAAATCCTTTTGGCATGAGTTGATCAAATTATGAATGTGGCGTGTCCATGTCATCTGGTGGTCGAAAGTTAGTCCTAAGAATTAAGCTTCCTCTTTGAATTTAATTTCTTGCTTAGTTAGGTGCAGTTTGGGGGTATAATTCTGCATTCGCTGTGTTTTGAATAGAATGCCCACGGGTTTTCTTTACGTTAATATGGAAACCCCATTTTATACTCTCCGGGTATAATGGTGTTGGGACCTATGAATTTTGATAGTATATCTAAATCATTGATAGTGATTTTAATGGATGATTAACACTCATGCCCCATTCAGGCACGTTAAACCTGAACAAAAACGTATAGGTTCGTTCCAAATGGTAAGACAGCCGATATTCAAAGTGTTTGTTGCTGGGGGCGTGATTCTTACTACTCAATCTATGATTCTCTCTTGAGTGGTTGGTTTGTTTGTTGTTTAACGCTCCACTCCGCAATATCCCAGCTATATGGCGGCGGTCTGTAAATAATCGAAGCCGGACCAGACAATCCAGTGATCAAAAGCATGAGCATCGATCTACACAATTGGGATACGATGACATGTGTCAACCAAGTCAGCGAGTCTGACCACCCGATCCCATTAGTCGACAAGTATGGGCTACTGAAGATCAGTTGTAACCCGGATCTTCACGGGTCTACTCTTGAGATACATTTTACATTGTGCCAACATGTCATATGGAACTCTGGGCGGTTTCCAGTAATTTTAAAAGGGTTTCAAAACAGTAAATGTACATGAGTTTCTCGTTCTAATGTTCGCCATTATATAGCCGGTTTACTAACAATGTGACGTTATATTTTAACTCTCTTTCTTCTTACCATGTCAGGCACAGTACCACGACATGACGTCATGCAACAACATCAGCCAATCAAATTATTCCGTGTCAAAGGAGACCCTCTTGTGGAAGGAAAATGAAAACATGGCCAAGACTCTCATTCCTGCCATGGCGTTTGTAGGAGTCATATTGGTGACCGGATTCTTTGGGAACGCTTTAGTATGCCATATATTCACAAGAAGGATTCCTTTATCTGTCAACACTTTTCTTCTGGTCTTCCTCGCAGCCTTGGACCTGGTGAACTGCACATTGGCAATGCCGTTCGAAATAATGGATATGCGCTATTTCTATCTTTTTGACAGTGACATAACATGTAAGATATTTCGTTTTATTGTAGCATTTCCCAATATCGACTCGGCATTTGTTCTGTTGATCACAACAATCAACAGGTACAGGATGGTATGTAAACCCATGTCAGTTCAAATGACTATGAAAGAGGCCAAGAGGCATGTTGCCATAGCAACCACTGCAGCCTTTTTGCTCTCCCTGCCAGCTTTGGTAATATATGGAAAACGAACAGTGAAAACAAACACATATGGACTGTGTGGACACGATTGTACAACAAGTGAACACATGAAAGGTTTAATGTTCCCCTTGATTTACCAAATATTTGGAGGAAGTGTAGTGTTGGTTATATCTGTGGCGATATGCTATATGTATATCAACGTTTGGAGAGAAATACGGAAACATAAGAAAAACATTTGTAACAACACACAGTTTGTTCTTCATGAAAATTCAAGGAGAGGAAATATTTCAAGCACCAATTCAGATTTTCAGAATGAAGAGGTCCCAGAAAAAAAGACAACAAAGCATAAATTATTTCGGGGAAAACGCATAACCGTCATTGCTTTTACAGTGACATTTGCTTTCATACTGAGTTACCTCCCTTATGCTGCAATCATAACCGTGCGCGGTATTCAAACTTTGACATTTCATCCTGATGGAGTGTGGTTTGTAACGTACAACATTCTAATTCGGTCGTACTTCATCAGTTCAATGATAAACCCATTAGTGTACGGATTCATGAGTCAGACGTTTCGACAGGAGTGTTTGAAACTGATTTTTTTCAAATGATAGCTAATTAAGATCATTGTTTTGCAATAAAACATCGAAACGGGCAAACATATTGTTGTATTTCTTTTTCCAGTGAGTAGGTTAAAAGAAAGCCTGAACTGTCACTTATACATGCCTAGTTTAAGAGCGACTTCAGCCCGGGGCCCCGTTTTATCAGGGATAATCTACAACGTTATATAGTCTCTCTGGTTTCATAAAGCGATCGTAGCGCTGCGCGTGACTTTCTAAACTCAAATCCTTTGACCAAGACAATCTCGGCGTGAAGAAAGATTGTCGTCATATAGCTGAAAAGTGTAGAGTAACGCTTAGTCTCTGAAAACATATAATTTTGATAGGATAGATAATTCCATTTTATATCGAAAACGAAGTCGAGGAAATGCCCAGCCCAATCAAGAAGGTGCTTAATCGATGCCCAGCGTACGTTTTATTGAGACTTGCTGTTCATGTTCTATTAAGGGTGTGTCCCAGTGTCAAATGAACAATTATTTATGCGCCCAGTAGTTGCAAAGAATATCAATATTGCTCAACTGAATGTATATTAGAGACAAAACCGTACTGACAAATGTGAAGGAATACATACCGTCATTTGTTGAATGTTCTCTGGACCGTTTTGGTTGGTCGTCTGTTATAACGGTCAATGTCTTCAGGTGTTTTTTGACATTTCATTTATCATTTATTTGAAGTATCTCTGTAATATATAAAAAAGTAAATTATCTGGTCAGAGAATACATGACAATAAGCAGCCTAGCTGATCGAGTGTGTGGGTGATATAGATTTGACAGTATTCCTCTTATGCTGAAGATGGTTTGGGAAATAACTGTAAAATGTCTAAATAAGGGGCCGGTTGTTTATTACAGGGGTGGCTGGGTCGGAGGTTTTGGAAACTCAATTACCCCTGAACAAATGCAAGTCACAACCCTCCCCGAAAAGAGTGAGTGAGTATGGTTTTACGCCGCTTTTAGCAATATTCCAACAATATCACAGAGGGGGACACCAGAAATGGGTTTCAGACATTGTACCATTCCCCGAAAAGAGGAAATGGACAGGCACATAATATTTCATTACACAATGTCCAAATGTTCGTGACCCTCCACAAACAAGTGGAATTGTTTTATTGCATTGTAGTAATTTATAATTTATGTCACAATAGTTACTTCTTCCGTCATTTAAAATAGCCACTTATCTGAGTTTTTAATTAGTGAAAGAGGGTATGGACAAGGAGGTATTTCATCTCAATATCTCAGTATCTATTTCTCTTGGTAGCTGAATCACTAGATACGTGGTAAGGAATGGTGATAATACTATAAGGTATTATAAAAAAATATAAAATATAAATTAGGTCAGTATGTTGATGATAGAGAGTTTGTACTTTCTACAGAATGTCAGGTCTCACGATATATACTGACAAGACAAAAATATCGGGACAAAAGCAGAAAGCACAGAAACGTTATGTGGAGATATATAATTTGATCTCACACATGCGATATCTCCTGTGGAACACAGTTTTGGATGATAAATTGAGTTTGAAGCATTAAGTTTACTCCAAATTCAATGATTAAGAATGCAAGAGAAAGGCTAGTCGAAATAAACAGATCAAATCCCTGGCATTGTGGAGGAAAAGATAGTAACAATGGTAGGTACAATTACTGTAATAAAAAATTAAACAATTTCTAAACTTGTTTATGTTTTTAGCACATTACCCAATCCACCTGTAGATTTTGTGAAAAATTAAAATTTTAACATTAATATTCGATGATTATTTTTTTGTCTGGCATGAAGTCGTTAATACAGACGTGGTTTAAAGGATGCTAAACTCCTTGATTTTCTGTGAAAGTTTTTTCATGGGCTTGTTTATGCAAAAATGGAACTTATGAAAATGAAATGGGTAGCTATAGTGATATATGCAGCTTATGTAATGTAAAGAATAATTGTATTTATCATGTTTATGGGAATGTCACGAAAACAACACATATCTTGAGATTTGGATTAATCACTTTAAGAAATTGAAATAGATTTGGATTAATCACTTTAAGAAATAGAATTAACATTACATTACAGACAATAAATTACTAAACCCAAGATCGAATTATCTCTTCAACAGACTTATTATTTGTGTAATATTAAAAAGCCAATTCGAAATTAATCAGTTATCAGAGCATTGGAAAAAGAGATATTTATGTTTGAAGGATTAATCTCAAGGAGAAATAGCTTCGATCACTCCCAATATTCAATCTTTGAGTGAGTGAGTATGGTTTTACCACAGGCCCTCGTGTCTTTGAGAGGATTAAAGATTTAAGAAAATAAAATTGAGATGACCCATGAATCGACATGCTTCCCAGTACAATAAGTCATGATTTATTTATTGTGCTGGGAAGCATTTCGAGTCGGGGGTCATCTCAATTTCTAAAATATATTTTTAATCTTAATCCTTGCAAAGACACGAGGGCCTGTGGATTTTACCCCGCTTTTATCAGTATTCAAGCATCATTACTGCGGGTGACGCCAGAAATGTACCAATGTAAGGAATGGAAACCGGGCCTTCGGAGTGACGGGCGGACGCAAATTAGCGCCTTCTTCTTGCGAAACATATGACGAGAGGAGGCGGCACCCAGTTTATGGTTAAATGTTGTGCAGCGCAACGAGAGCTTGGAAACAGGTCTTACTGCTAGTACTTACCTGTTAACTCATCATATATGGTAGCATGTTCAAATATGTATGTGTAACATATTTTACAAATTTTCTTAGATAATATTTCATATCACACAAACATCAATATTAGACGTATATAACTACTATAAAATTATTATGGTAATTGAACCATTATTTTTTTGGACAATCAAATAGCGTTCTGTATAAATAGGTTTTCAGGATAGTACTGTAGCACGATTCAGATTCATCATGGCGAGCACAAGCAAAGCACTGACGGTAGGAGGAGAAAGAACTACTGGACAGTCAGTAAGAACTCAAAATGGTGAGAAACGTTACATTTTTGATATTACTATTTGTATTTGTTACGTGTACAGTCGTTAAAAGAGCCTTTGTAAACTGTTTTAGGGTATGTCGCCAGATTTCCCTAGACCGGCAACCCACGTGTTTAGTCATGTTGAGAGCACGTTATTCTGGAATCTTCTTTAGCAACAAGCCTGCTATGCCTTAATAGCTTTCAATAAAGACCGAATATGCTTATGATGGATTTGGTCGGTGAATGGGGATGGAAACCTGTTGTCTCCACATACATACACTATTTAGTGGATTACCCGACTGTAATAAATGTGTACGAATTGTTTAGGCAGTTGTCAATACAAACATGGCATATAAATCCTGTCGTTTATTTTTGCTATGTCGTCCTAAAAAACTGTTCTCGTAATGTCTGGTAATGTTTTCCAATACGTCGAATATTTTGTAGTGAGTACAGAACATTATAACATTGCTATACTAACGCTGAAGGTGTCGTTCTCGCCACAGGTACCACAGATATGTACCCTAAACAAAGTCAAAATACAGAAACGTACCCCAGCCCATATTCTGCACCCCCCAAACCGAAACCGTATGTAGTTCAACATTACTTGTACATGGTACTGGCTAGCGAACGGTTATCGCCAATACATCAGTATCACACGTGCACAGTTCGGTCAATTACCATTACAGTATTTTTTCCCCATGGTATTTGACAACAATAAAGTACAGCAAAAGAAAATTCTTCACGGCAAGTAACATAAGAGAAAAATTAAAGAAAATGTTATGAACCCTATATAAAAATTAACTTAGTTGGGAGCATGTCCCACGACCTGTATAATAGCAAGTTCATGTTCACACGTCATTAGTTGTTTCATGCCCTATCAACCTACAGTAAAATAAGCACTCAAATAGTCATACAATCAACTGTTAGGGGTTACTGTATGGTATGAATGTATATTATTTAGTTGTGAGAAAACATCTATTTATACTGCCATGATTCCCTTCCGCCACGTTATATAAAAAAACCCATGATCGGCGGCAGTGAACATGCTGGACACATCGGTGAATAGCAAATTAAGTATCATAATTAATTCCGTTTCATTAATTTAACGAACGACGGAGTAAGTTTGCAAATACCTCCAAAATACGGCGATAACTGTTCACTAGCGATTACCTGACATTGAAAATCATGAAGGAAGTTTGATTGAAAGGGTTATCAAAGGGCAGAGGATTTAGTTAAGGGTAACATACCGTAACACAATTAAGATGAACTACCCTAAGGATCAACGAGGCATTCCAAATAAATGAGATGGGCGCCACAGGCAGTCACAGGCACTATAATTAAATGATCTAATTTCTAAATTGCATCTGTCAAACTACAGTGGTGCCCACACTCCTGCCACACTGACCCTGCTAACGTAAATTCCATTCCTGAAACTATTTCAAGCACTTGGTTTAGGCTCAGTAATATTTCACCAGGTATCAGTGTATATTTACAATTTGCAGCACGGTCATTGTCAGTTGATTTTAACACCTAGCGATATAGGTTCTCAGGGATTGGGATGGAGACCTTTGACAATGGGCCATTTTCAGGATTATTAGCAATTTTCTGAATTCAGAATGGGTCACTGCCCTTGTATCAATAGTAAACTTCAAAATTTTAATGGGCCATTTTTTATTCTAATGTGCAATATGGCCCTTGCCTTTCCCAATGCCTGGGTTCTTGTTCCCACTGTATCATGCATGGTGAAATGTTATTGTCAATATCATTAATTTTGATTGCTATATGTATTGATCTCTACTGTTTAGCATTAATGATACTTATATAAAGAAAGTGCCTTGCAAATGTGTGACCAGCCCAAGACTAAAAGTGGGTAGCATACTAGTATGATAATGCATGACTACAATTTAGATCATTCTAAGGTTTCTCTGAATCTGGTGTTCTCTAACTACTTAAGTGTAGTATTTTTCCCCGTTTCCAACAGTACTTTGTCAGTTGTATACTGTACTATTAGTTATTATCCCTCGCCACGAAGTAGAAAGGGGATATTGGTTTGAGAATCTGTTATAGGTAGGGTAGC